TTATGTGTTGATGATAACATTCCAGACTATTTTATAGCCTATGTTTTTTATTAGTGTGCGTGCAACTTTTACATAATAGACAAGCGGGACATTTCACAACTCTTTGTATATCATTATTCCTGCGGTGACCTGTAAACCAGACCAGCCAATTGCATGCATTTCTCTTTGTTGGGGTTTGAAAAGAGGGCCAATCAACGCTCGGGTCATTATTTTTGAAATCTTTCCGTTACATGCCTGGTTGTGGAGCGTGCATTGTACAACTATCCTGGACACAAGCAACACGCTAGGAACTTAGTGAGAGCATGGAGGTAGAAAAGGTCCATGGTGAGAGATTGTGTCATATCTCATCATCAACACAGGAATATCGGTATTGCGCCTTTCTACGTAAATTGGAGCAGTTTTCAAGACAAGAACGCCGTGGGACACTGGCAAGACGAACTGGGACAAGACTACTCTCCAAGCTGAGGTTGATTGGGAAGATTGTGAACGTCAGAGTATGCCTCGTTCTTTGAAAAGCCGGTAGCCAGGATCCTGGGAACCAGGCTGCGGGCATAGGCGAGTGATAGTCCGCGTGCAAGAGAGTATTAGACCGGACCAGAGGACCGATGTACACCCCTACGGACTATACACTGTGTCCCGACTCAAGGCCGTGCTGTGACACAAGATGTTCGGCCCGTGGGTCACCGCCTCAGCGAGGCTTTTGGTGTTGCACAGCGCGGAATAAAGAGCTTGGGACGGCTTCTAACGACTGGTGCCCAGACGAGACTAATATCTGCTCCCGTGACTAGCTGCGTCAAGGCAAGACACAGAAGAACGAGACGTACAGTTTGTTTCAGCTGAGCTGAAAGACCGGCCGAAGTACACTGGAAATATTGGAGGCACACAAAACGACAAACAAAAAGTCACAAAGCCCAAGCACCATGTACAATTAATAAAGAAAACAAAATTATGCAAACAAGAAGGGGGGATAAACGGCTATGATGCTACTTTACATTACAAAAGGCATATTGGAGGGGGGGGACGTGTGCGGGTGTGTACGACCCGTACACGAGCTGATAATGAGGAAGATAATTAGGTGAAAATTACCGCTAATTTATGCATATTTCATACACACACTCAGAGGTACGTGTCACGTATCCAGGTGTGTGCAGAGATTTACGGGTGGCGTGTGCAGGCGTGTGCAGGCCTGTACACGGCCCGGACACCTGAGTGGTTCATATCCGGGCCGTGTGCAGGCCTGCACACGCCAAGTGTACGGGTCGCGCACACCTGGAAATGTCCGTATATTTGGAATTTCCGGGCGTGTGTACGGGAGTATACGACCCGGATACGTCGGTTTTCGTCTAGTGAATCATGAACATCCATTTAAGAATCTTCGAGATATCTTGTACACAAGGAAAAAACACCAAAAACCAAGGTCAACTACAGTATTTTAAGAACCCCCCACGAAGCCCATTTTTAGCCTTGACAATGGCCACCCCCAAATCAACCTGCCTGCCAAAAATCGTGAACCTCGGACCTTGCCTTCAAGAGTTATAGTGCCTACTCTGCCAAACAGTGCAAAAGCGATTTCATAGCCTTCTCCGAAGGCATAGCCTTCAGTCGAAGGCAATTATAGAATTTAGTGTTTAATCGTGTACATCTCTCTCTCAGCTACCTACTTACCAAAAATAATGAAAATATATTGTTCCTATCTGGACTTATTGGCTTTTCAAGATTTCGCCCGAAGGTCCCCTGCAGTTCCAGAACAGCTGGTAGGGGGACCAAACTCACACCATTTATTACTGACAGAAAAAGCTATCTGTTACCAAAAATTCAAGACCATATCATGTTCATGACAAAATATTTAAAAAACGGAAGTTCTTCTGCAGTACCAAGGTCATCCACTAGGAGGCCTATACTTGACCTTGACCTTTGTCTTTATAAGACTTACCAACATACCAAATATCATCATTATCTATAAAGGCGTTATGCTGACTACAAATGTGCGGAAACACAAACACACACACAGACAGACAGACAGGCCAAAAACAATACCTCCACTTTTAATGGAGGTAATAAGATTAGGTTTAGGCAGGAGTTGTTAGAGCACATGCGTCGTCAATCAGACCAGATGGACAGCCAAACAACTCCGAGAAGAATAAAAAAAAAACGTGTGGTGATGAGCCGATCAGTCTGCTCTAATTCCCCATGTTTAATATTAATTTTTCCTGTTCAATGTCAGTTTCAATGCAGCATTTGTCTTTGAGAAAGCTGGTCTTTTTGTGTTTCAATCCTCCTGTCCCCTGGGTGATTAGCCTGCACAAAGGGCGGACCTGGTTTCAATTAAACCCAAAAAGTGTGGTACCAACTAAAAGTGTGATACTAATTTTATGCAAATGAGTTTTAGTACCACGCTTCTTAGTTAGTACAACTTTTTTGCACTATGGGGATATAGACACAGGAAATGAAGGGCTCTCATTGGGTGAGGGGTAGTGGCCATGTTCTAACAACCAAATGATTGGAAATCAGTATAAGGGTACCTCGGACGTGTGTCTATAGAACGCACCAGTTTCNTACAACCTATCATCTACCTTTTTACTGGCGTAAATAACTTCCTACTGTTGGAAAATGAAGCACATCAGTCATTTTACACTGATACAAATCAATACTATTAGCTTTTGGTTTTATTTATACAAATCCTAGTAAAGAGTTGATAGTCACAAGATATTATTGTGTTTGTAGGACATATAGGCAAACACTTCGTGACAGGAACTACTAGTAGATACACAGGAAATCTAAGCTCGTACACACACAACACTAACGTCTACATTCCAACTACTGTGTACAAACACAGCACTAATGTCTACCTTTTAGCTTCAACTACTGTGTACAATCACTTACCGGTGTTAATTACTGATTATGTATATTATCCAGTCAATACTATAACGCTTACTATTCTCACTCTACAATTCTAGATATCTAAAATAGATTTTGATATCTCATATTAAAACAAAGCGAAACTAAGACTTATTCTAGTACCTAAATTATAGCCATAACTTAATTAGATATTAAAGTGCCTACTAATTCCCTACTTGCAAACTTTAGTCAGTTTCTTCCTCTTCTGTTCCAAACACTAACCTCTGACCTGGCCAATGACATCATTTGTTGACGTCTGTCACCATGGTGACTGGTGTTGGGTTACATAATGTTGCAATGGCATGGTCTGCTCTGTCACCATATACTAGTAGTACATGTATGTGAATGTGTTTGAGTAAGAATTAACAGCTGCTAGGGCAGACCATGTCCGAAGGTAAACATCATGCATTTGCTTGGAAAATATTACTTCTCTAGTTTATTTTGATTTCTGTTTCTTTCCCAACAGTGAAGACAGATGGAGGAAACTGGAGACAAACCCTTGGGGAGTGAGGAGAGCAGTTTTAGGACAACTCCCGAGTCTTGCTTTACTGTGAAGAACCATACAGGAGAAAGACTTGGGGAAAGTCATTCATTCCAACATCTAGCAAAACACACCGATGAGAAACCCTACATGTGTGGGGAGTGTGGGTACAGGACAGCTCAAAAGTCTCACATATCTGAACATATGAGAACCCATACAGCTCACCAGTTTCCCTGCATCACTTTAGTTCTGTCCCACATCTGGGTCATATGCTAATGAGTACACCAGAGACACCTACTGGTGGCTTGGGTGTACTGCAGCAATTGTAGGCGGTCCTACCTACTTTAACCAATCATTGTGGCCCTTTTGTATCACGTGAGGGTCCTATTCCCAGCTCAACTGGGCAGCCATGATGCCTTCTGACAGTTCAGAGGGAAAATTGGCTGAAAATCCACAAAATATACAACGTACAGCAAAAAATCGCGCGCCCCCCACCCCTGGGAATTGAAGGAAGATACAAAGACTTTGTTGGAGGTTTTTCGGGTGAAGGGAAGTTTTCCCAGCCTCGAAACTTGGAAGAATTGGCAGTTTGAGGCTTTGTTTACAACATGGATGCCAGCTGATAATGGTCAGGATCCTGTGTTTTTTGCAGTTGAGGCTGAAAAAAAGGTACGTATGCTATATTTACCATATATTTTGAACTGTCTTTGGGGCTTTTCACTACTTAAGGTACCTTCAAAGTGTCTTTTATGGGCGTTTTGTATTTTGTTTTGCATTCTGTAACAGTTAAAACTTATTATGAAGGTCATTTGAGTGAACATAGCAGCCATAACTTGTAAATAATACCAGTATTGGGGGGGGGGGCTTTTGGGTCATGATTGGGGAAAGTAAGAACCTGTCACAGGACTCATTTTGTTAGTGATGTTATATTCCTTTCAAATAATAAAATCACAAATCCATACAAGCATGAAGAAGAAATCTCTCTTGACAATTTTGCACAAAAAACATATTAATCTATGGATTTGTTTATACAAAATGCACCAGTACTTAGAGAGATGCATAACACTCTCAGCTCGTCTCCGTATACATGTAGTGTCACCATGTAATATATAACTAGTTTATGTTCAAATTGACAGCAAGCATTTTTGCACACATAGTGTATAGAATTCCTTCTTTTGCACATTTTGTCAGAACAACATTTTATACATGTGTAATGTGCTTTAATCGAGAACCACCATAACTGAAAATAACTCTGCAAATCATGTTGTCACTAGTAAATTACATGTAACGTTCACCTGTACCTTATCGGCACTATACAAAATATACATCAGGTCTTTACATTCTCTTACAATAAATACAATAGGAATTAGGAAAAGTAAGTTAACCTTGTATCAAACAGATACATGTTTAGAAATCTTATGTTCTCCAATAAAGCTCAATCATTTACGCCGCTTGGGTTCAGGCACACCGCCGACATGACCAGGACTGACAGAAAGCATGTGCTTGTGTAGTATAGACAGAATTTGTTGCGTGCTATCTGCAATGCCATATGTTGTCCTTTCAATGTTGTTAAATGCAGCGTGTATTTCTTCTATCCCCTGTTCCCCGTGAAACCCCAGACCAAACTTCCATCTGCGTATCCAAGGCACTACGTGATCTTCTAGGAGGTGCATCTTTATGGGGATGGTTGCAGAGGGGAACGCACGTCTATAGAACTCCATGAAGTTCTTGATGTCAGTATCTGCAGATGCAAAAAAAAAAAGGTAAAAAGACATGTCTGTGACGGTATATAGCAAATTAAAAAGTAAAATTTCTTCTCTTTTAGTTTTGTGATGAAACATCAATGTAAGAAATACTAGCAACTCACCCAGTACAGAGATCTCCTCTTCACTCAGGGGCTTTGCCTTGGAGAACGCATGATGGCACTTGGCATACAGCTTGAATAACTCCTGATACTTCTCTTTCAGGGCCTTAGACCTCGTGACAATGCTGAGGGGGAATCCTTCGTAGTCGTCGACGAGGTCGGCAGCAACATTAGCAGGAATGGAGGTGAGTGATTCGATAGCTGTGTCCTGCAGTACATATATAGAGTGGACATAACATTACTGTACTGATAATTACCGGACAGTAGGATAATAATCTTGGTTCCACAATGTGAGAATTTGCTGTTGAAACTGAATGAAAGAAAGAAAACCACAGATTTGTAATTTCTTAGAATTTAAAAGTACCTGGAGCATGGTATGCACATGGTTTCCGACAAAAGCTTGACCATGATAGGCCTGTCGCTTGACATGGAAACTCTTCAGGACACCATCTAGCTGCTTGGACAGTGGACCGTCTTGGACACTGATCTTTGCATCCTTCCTGATTTTAGCAGCTTTTTTTTCCTGTAAAGAACATATATACTAGCATAGTCAATTTTGATTTTTGGCACTGCTGTAGACATTACATGTATATGTACATGTACTGAAAGGTGATTATAAATTTTGTCTCATACTAAAGCAAATCAAGAAGTAAGGCATACCAATTTCATCTTGCTCTCTTGGAGTGACTTAATTTCTTCTTGAAGCTGTTGGAAGCTCTCTTTGGTTGGGTCATCTCCATCTTCATCATCACTGTCATCAGACTCGTCACTCTCCACAGACATGTAGGCGACCCAGGCCAGCTCATTCTCCCTTTCCTCCAACTGCTCTTGTAGACAGGCTGCCTTGTCTTCTACTTCACGTGCAGCATCCACAGCCTCCACATAGGGCGCAAGTCCATGCAGACGGAAGTCATGCAGGACCTGAGCCCTATCTATTTCGGGATCCTCCAGGAAACCACTGGCCAGGGTTGTAGCCAGAAGCATGTCCAAGTCCTGGAGATCACTCTCCAGCATCTTGAACATCTTCTGGTACAACCCCAGACTGATGTAGAGCCCCGGGACGCACACCTGTGTGAAGAAAAATGTGAAGATTAAATATCATTTCCAAAGTTCTAAACAGTATAATTAGTAGATTATTTTATGTTGTTGTGCATAGCTTAGATCAAACTCACCTGGTCCAAGGGGATGTTAAACATGGGGATAGCAATGACGTTCTTGAAGTCCTTGGCCTTCTTTATGTTCCCCTTTCCCTCTGCCATGAATCTCTGGTAATTCGTGGTGAGAGAGGTCAAACTCCGCAAGGCAGCGCTAGGTCTGCTGTCCTTTGACAACCGCATGCCTGTGTGACTTTCACACCATAAGCAGGGGTGCACACCTACAAAGCAACAATATTTTTACTATTTTGCAGGGACATTATCACTTTTTATGACTTTTATTGACGAAAAATAAAATAGATAACACAGAAGACTAACTTTGTTTTCGGATGTTTCTTACCACAGGCTCCTGATATTCCAAACCACAGGCTTAGCAAGGCGTAGTCTGACGCAGCAAAAACCCTCGTCTTGAAGTTCTTTGCATCAGGTGACCTTGCAGAAAAAGTAAGATTTTAAGCTTACATGGCACACAAGTTGTTAATATACATGTATGGTTTGAAATAGCATAGCTTTTGTTGCAGAAAACAATGGTTATGCTGACCTCCATGTGGTGACCTGTAGGGTCTTGATGTCCTCGGCAAAATGTCCAGTAGCTGTTAGGACATTTTGTCGGTAGTCTTTGGCTTTGAAGACACAGTTTACCACTGTGTTAGTCTTGCTGTTGGGGTGGAGTTTGTTGAGGGTCTGACAAGCCATCTTGAAAGAACCCCCTCAATGGTCTCCCAGCACTTTAACCCACACTTCGTCTTCGGGAATATAGCCGTCATGCCACGTCAGTTCCCTGTATACATGTAAAAATAAGAGTTACTTTTTAGTGAGGTTTTGAGAATTAAGGCTGTCTCTGACATTGAGAAATCATTACAGCTAGATTGTTTTAATGCCATTCTTGACAAGAATATCTTACCTAGCATTTGCACTCCTGGTGATGTTGTCATGGACAGCTGTTGTTAGGTTAGTGATGTACGCACAGGGCAGTAGTTCAATGTTAGTCCCTTGTGATGTCTTAACGGCCAGTGGCATCAACTCTGCGTGGATGTCAATGTTGGACAACAGAGCCTTGCTGATCTTTCTGGACACCCTTTCTGACTCCACAGTTACCCCATACCTCTTAAGCCACCTGAAATTAAGAAGCATAGTATGTTGAAACTTGTTAGAAGTCAGAAGTCACACAAGCTAAAATTCTGATCTTGCTGACATCTCTGCAACACATTGACTTTTGATTAAGCCACACAGAACTACCTTGGTTTGAGTGTGTGTGGAAAGCACACTTAAAATACAACTTAAAGTTTAATAAACAACTGACCTCCGCAGTTTCCTGAGTTGATTGTAATTCACCCCTATATCAACTTGCATTGCCAGGAGATGACCATCTGGAATGAGGACTTGGTCCAACTGCATGTCCCGGAACAGCTGATGGAGCTCTGCCCGGGGGATGGACCGCATCTCCCGAGCAAGCTGCTCCTTCACGGCACCCCCGCTGACAACCTCTCTGACACCCTCCACCTCACGCACCCGTTTCCGGGCCGTGGTCTCCCCAACATCAGCGCTGCTTTTTCTAGGGTTTGTCACCCTACGAAACGTTAGGGGCTGAAAAAATGATAACAAATGCTTTCAGTTCTTCAAATCCTGATGTCAAGGTTATGTTTGCAGTTCATAGTGTTAGATGAGTTTTGTTTCTTAGTATATAGTACAACAAGCTACCTCAGGGACACGTAAATAGCTGTTCGGTTTAATTTCATTTCCTTATAAATATCATTCTGTATTTTCTATATTTGCAATTTGTATATACATGTAGTTGTTTCCATTTTACAGCTCTACATTAAATACAGATGAAATTGATGATTGAAATTGTGTAGAGTATTCATTCTTACCTGCCTCCAGTCTTGCATTGTAGACTCTGCGTGTTCTTGTCGTACATACGCCTGACAAGACTGGTCGCGACCTGTTGCTCGTCAGCGCTTAGCTCACCGGACTTATTGAGGTCTATAAAGACCCCAGGTCCGGTGTTCAGGTTTTGAGCAACAGGCGCTGGCGCCGCGGGGGTGTGTGGAGGGGCTATAGGTACTGTGGGGGGTTGGGGTGTTGCCTGGGGTGTTACCTGGGGTGGGATGACTTGCACTGGGAGGATTAGGATGGGAACTGGTCGAGGTGCCACAAGGTGAGGTCTGTTGTCATCTAAAGGAGGTGTACAGGTGTGGTGCTTCAGCTGGTCCAATCTAAGTTTCAGGGGTTTATCCTGTTCTTTGCAGGTCTTACACTCAAAAAGGGTTTAAAGGTATGCACTGTAGAATGGCCTGCACCCTTTTTGACAAGGAATGACCTGACTCTGTGGCACTTGCTGGTTACATACAGGACAGTTAATGGTTGATTTGTCAGTTTGGGTGAATGTCTGCTGCAAACACATGAAACAGAAGATATGTTCACAGTTAGTGATGACTGGTAAGTACAAGATGGATCTGCAAATGGGACACTTGTAGGCCTCAGACTGCAAGCATTCTGAAAACCTATCTTCATCAAATGGGTAGTCCTCCAGGTCATCTTGAAGTTTTAGAAAACTTGTATGATCGAAGGACTGAGAAGAATCTGTTGAAGTACTAGAACTTCCTTGTTTAGGTGGGCCGGAGGTCCCAGGCCCATCACAGTCACCTGGACTTGCTAGTCCTGAAGACTTAGATGTACCTGGGGTTAGAGATGGGGTAGGGGATGCAGTGGGCTTTGTTTTGGATTTTTTTTTCTGAACCTTTCTTGGCCTTCCACCCTTTGACATCTGTTCAGCCTTTTCACAATGTTTACAATCTAACTTGTGGTTATACCACATCTCTTTTGAGCTGACTGCCTTGCTCCCACATTCTGACCAGTTTGCCATTTTACTGCGACATTTATAACAGAAAAAAGGGGGATGTCTGTAGCTCTTGTCCAGCTCGATATTCACCCCCCATGTATCCTTAATTTCCTTACTAAAATCAATGCATCTAAGGAGGGGGCGATTTTGCTGCTTTTGAGCTTTGGTGGAAACAGGACCTGCACAGAAACGACATAGTTTTCTTATGTTTTCAATGTGTACTTTCAAATATATTGTTTATTTGTTTATTTGCAAAATCATGCCCGAAGGCTAATTGCGTGTACAGTCAATTATACAGAAACAGGAGACAGGTAACAATCTGTCTGGAAAAACCTCTACTTCTACTACTACTCTAGCTATTAAGGGGTTCGACTTCTTCTTTGAAGGCAGTGGATAATGAATAGTCCCACATTCTGCATAATTAGTGGGTTTTGTGATGTTAGTAGAAATGTAGTCTTTTGGTGATCTTCTAAATGACGAAATGATGGAGAGATTGTTGTAACTGTCTGAAATAATCTGTTTCTTTCGGTCTCATAGTGAGGACACTGGCTAACAAAATGTGTTTCATTTTCCACTGCATTCATTGTACAATATTTACATAATCTCTCATGTCCGGAGCACTTAAAAACCTTTTATTTCCACGCCCATAAACACATATGCAATTAAACAAAAACGTTCTGCATCATCTGCAGCCCAACATCAATACGTATNAACTTTTTTTGGCCTTCCACCCTTTGACATCTGTTCAGCCTTTTCACAATGTTTACACTCCAACTTGTGGTTATACCACATCTCTTTTGAGCTGACTGCCTTGCTCCCACATTCTGACCAGTTTGCCATTTTACTGCGACATTTATAACAGAAAAAAAGGAGGATGTCTGTAGCTCTTGTCCAGCTCGATATTCACCCCCCATGTATCCTTAATTTCCTTACTAAAATCAATGCATCTAAGGAGGGGGCGATTTCGCTGCTTTTGAGCTTTGGTGGAAACAGGACCTGCACAGAAACGACATAGTTTTCTTATGTTTTCAATGTGTACTTTCAAAAGACTCATGTTGGAAAAGTTGTCTGAAACTAAGGAAACTAAGGGCAAAGATCCCAGAACTAACAATCAATCTTGCAGCAGTTTAAGTGACAGCTAGGAATGTGTCTGGGCAGATCCTCTTTCCACCATGCAAGATTGTGGGGCCTTTTGAGGAGGGGGGGGGCAAAATGGGAACAAAATATGACAAAAGTGGCAGTAAGGCAGTCTCTTTTGCCAAAAATAAATAATTTCAAAGTAAATCTAAGTTTTAAAAATCAGTTCAAGAAGAATGGCTTCCTTTGGGTACAGAAATACTAGGCAAACAAATATCAAAGTAGCATCTAAGTGGCTCCAGGCCGGGACCACATGGTCCAATATGCCGAACTTAGAATGACCCTCACAGAAAACCTGGGATCCTGACCAAATGATGACTATGAAAAATAAGTAGTGAAATAGTTGAGGTTTAAGATGTGTGTAAGATTATAAGTGGCAAAACTGGCATTAATAATGAAAATGGCTGGTAAATTACCCTGATTTGACCATGTGGTGAAATGACCTCCCGGCAGCACCCCCTGTACATGAGTGGGTGTTACTCAAGGGGAAACCCCCAAAGACCATGTGTGTCTGGTGTCTGTATTAGGGAAGGGTCTTGTTTCTACTTAGGCATGTATTTTGACATGATTCATGGTGTTCCTGTCAAGAAAACCACTTAGTAACCACATCCGTCAGCAAGGGAAGCAATGGTTGCCATGCAGTCCGCCATCTTGATCTCGTGAAAAATGACACGTGACAGCCCTTATCACGCGTGAACCAGCGTGGCTCATTTCGATAATTTATTAAATATGCGGAAAACTAAGTTGAGGCCATCTTGGCCTCTGAAACTGGTGTGAGAAAAGCAGTCACATATTTGGCATACATCACTAACAAATGACTCATTTAGGGGACTTAAGAGTCATTGCATGAGAAAACCTGGCAGAGGCGGGAAGATGGGGGTCGGCCAAATCGGCTCATACTTTGTATGTGAGATAGGTATGAGGAACTATTAACAGCCATATAGTTAAAACCCTCTAGCTATTTTTCGTTATGGAGTTCTGGGACCCCCTCTGAGACCCTCAAAAATCTAACAATTTATGACTGAAAATGATATGAACATGGGGTTTCTTTTGTCTCATAGCATGTGTCTTCTACTTTTACAAAACAAAAATTGAAGATGCAACATTGAAGTTAAAAGGGTATACCAGGGGGTTACCACAACCAATGAAATCAGAATTTTCAACTTTCTAAATTTTAGTCATTTTTAAGTAGCTTTTTCTCCGTCACGCGGCGATTTTGATAAACGGTTTTACCGTTGCTGGAAAGAGGAACATCTGCTGATTCTAAAACAAGTGTCGTTTAATTGGGACACACATAGCGTGGGCCATAAACGAAGGGTCTTTATGGGGGTTTTCCGGGTTTTGGACCATAATAAATTAGGTTAAAACGTCTCTTTTCGGGTTAAATAATTGACATTTTTTTGTGCAGCTGCATGGAATCAATGGACAACTGTTAAAAAATGCTAAAAATAATTGGAAATATTCGTTGGGGCTCTACATGGGGGATATAAGGATACTTAAAAAGCAAATTAAACTGATTTTACACAATTTATCACATTTTATTTATAATGTCCATTAGTAAGTACCTTTCAAAATCAATTTTGTGCATTCACATAATATGAAGGCTATGTATGGGGGTTATCAGAACACCATGTGTGAAACCAGCTACGGTATACACAAGCCGCATGGGTGTATACACGTAGATACAAGTACTTCAAATTGACAATCTAGCAATAGGACTAAGAATATGAGACGTTTAAGTTAAAAATAACGGTGAAAACAGACAAATAGAACTAAAGGCCACTGAAAATAGAGGTTAGCCAAATATACTCGTACTAAGGCTTCCATTTTTGGATTAAATGAACCAGTTACCATTTACATATAAAGGAACATCTGGTTCTACTCAGCTTATAAGATAAGGAAACCAATTCATCCAAACTCCATCATCTAATATCATAACAACAGTAAATTGTTACCAAATAAAAATCCCAGAGCGCGTTATGTACAATATAATGTCAGTCAATTCAAATAAGAAAAGTAATCTCACTATACCATCATCGACTATTCCTTGATCATGATATATTTACAACAATTCTAAATTACTGGATATTGTCATTATGCAAGCATTGGATTAATTCAATTTTTCAAGTATCCTTAATTGCCCCCCCCCCATGCAGATCCCCTCAAACCGGTATCATTTTTGACAACAGTACTATGCATGGTTTAATCCAACTATACAAAAACGGTCACATATTTCCCTTCACTGATACGACATTTTATCTGATCGATTTGTATGATGTAATAGCCCCATGACCCATGTTTTATGTGTGGTCCAGTACTTAGAAGACTTGTTTCTGAATGAAATGAAACATGTTCTTCTATCCTGCAAGAGCAGTATTCCTGTTTCTGAGGAACTAAAATTAAGAGAGATCAAAAATCTCCTTTCATGATCTATTGTGCTAAAACAAAAATGTTGAAAACATCGAAGATGAAAGAACAATTTAAAAGCACACAGCAAAACATTTTTATTTCCTGATAGCATGTCCTATTTTGACAATAGACCATTTTCTCTACAGACCATTGTGTCCACGTTGACATGTATGAACTGTTTTGAGTTTTCCACCTGTGTACTTTTGAGACTTTGGCAAGTGAGAAAGAAAAAACAGTTCTGCATTTGTACTAATATCTAGGACAGGCTTTAACAACAGCTCAACCTGTACCTTTTTTTGGTGTATGAGCGTCGTTGCTTGAATCAGAGGCTATTAGTTAGTATTAATATGTTACATCTAAGTAAATTATTATAAGATCTAGAACTAACTTATTAAAGATATAATTTGACAGACGTATAATTTGATATGTTTTAAAATGTAAGAATTAAGTATGAAATGAATATGATTGACTTTGTTTTTAGTAGTACTTACTAGTAGATGA